TATCTAGAAAACTTTCCACAGCTTTAAGTTCATAGTCACATTCAATACTTAGATACAGAGCTACCACACCTAAAACTTTCAACAGCTTTAAGTTCATAGTCACATTCAATACTTAGATACAGAGCTACCACACCTAAAACTTTCAACAGCTTTAAGTTCATAGTCATGTTCAATACTTAGATACAGAGCTATCGCTTCTAAGGAAACAAAACTCCAATTTTCTTCAAATTTTTTGGCAATTTTTCAACAGATTCGAAATCATCCGTATTAAGTGTCGGAATATGGTTTTAACAATATGTCCGAAAGGTCAACTGAATGGTCAGTAATGTTTGATTACTTCCTACAATTGGTCTTCCTGGAATACTGGGAGTTTTTCCAATACGAATAAATTTACTCGTTTGCTTCCAACAATAATTCATTAATCGCTTTTGACTTATGGATTTTAGGAATACCCAATTTCTGAATTTCTTAAAATAAAATATTTTTATTTTTTTAATACCACCTTAAAATTCAGCAACCGAATTATTTGATAATTCTTTAATGAAATGTATGCATCTCTTTGTATCATTTAAACGTTCATAAGCTATGTGATTATAAAATTGTTGGGTCATAATTACCCATATTTTATCTTGATCCACTTTTTGAAATATCATGTTCGAATTTTTAAGATTCTTGAGCAACTTCCACTCTATCAATGTTAGATTATCCTTCGCTTGTTTTCCAGTAACAGAATATAATTCAATTGTTTTTACAAGTTAACTGTAATTTAGGATTTATTCCTTGAACAGGATAAAAATCTTATTTACCTTTTACTAAGGGTTCATCTTTATTTGAAACTTCATAAAAGTATTCATTAAGCCTTAATTTCCTATCGTATTGATATATATACGTATCTCTACCAGCTGTATTTTATTGGGTTTATTTGTGGGAGTAAATGTTAATCCTTTTGCTACTAACCGTATTTCCTTTTCTTGCTAATTATTTTATGTTAAATTAACCACTTTCAAAAAACTCTGAAAAACAAGGGAAATATTATATATATATACATAATATTGATATATATATTGCAAGTTAAGTCAACAGGTTTCGTATTTTGTGTGTGTGTGTGTGTATCTATATAAATATAATATTACTGTCTGTTGTCTGTTCATGTAACTACATCGCAGGGTAGGGATGGATCTTCACCAAATTTGAAGTGGTGGTTCATTGGGTCCATGCGGGGGGTACATAAATATTTTCAGTTTTGCATTTTGCGTCTTGCAATTTTTATGGGCGTATTTGCGTGTGTGTTTTTTTACCACCAGTTCGCCCCCTATTGATGCATCTTCACCAAATTTGACATGAAAGTTAGTTTGGTCTATGCGGAGATATATAAAAACTGTTGTTTCACATTTTATGTTTTGCAGTTTTTATGGGCGTTTTACATGTAAAGGAAGCAACTTTACATGTCCCAAGATAACCTTTCGTTAGTCATGAATTTACATAACTTCCATCTAGGGGACGGGTAACCAAGCTAGTATATAATAAAACACAAGTATAATAAGCCATGCTTCTATTCTTCAGCTAGTATAAGTCTTTGTTCTAATCGTTTCTCAGCAGACAAAAATATTAAAATAACTAGTCAATTCAAAAAATCATATCAGTTTCAAAATAAAAATAAAATAAAAACTGAAACTAGGAAAAAGCTGTTAAAAGGAGTCTACTAAAATAATAATATTTCCAAATAAAAACTTCGGTAAATATGGAGTAAAAAAGTGAAACAAAAATTAAAATGTAGAATTAATGATGCTCCTAAATGTATATTTAAATTTACAATACCTTTGAAGCTCCACAACGCGTATCACCTTCTACTGACAGCTTGTGAAAAAGAAAAATTTTACAGGTGTACTCAGAGACCTCTATTTTTTTTTCAAAGAAGGCATTAAGAGAATCTTTAACATTTTCTTTTAAGAAACTTTCGGTAAAAAGGTTTTCCCACTTTTGTTTTTACAAGACGTAAAAGGATAAACTCTAAAATAGGATTATTGAAAAAAAAGTCATTAGGCAGTTGTGAAAGTTAGGGTTGATGGAGATCTGTCTCAAGAAAGCATTTTAAAGATGAAACTTATATGATTCTTAAACGTTTATTTGTTTTTGAGCCCAATACTGTGCCCTCCAGTGGAACAGCGGTAAATTTACGGATTTCCAAAGTTAAAATCCGGGGTTCGATTCCTTTGTGGTGGACATAGCAAATAGCCCAATTCTAAAACAAACACAATACTTTAGAAAGTGCTATCTGCACTGTACCAACCGCGGGTATTGAACCCCGAATTATAGTGTTATAAGCCCTCAAACTTACCACTGAGCCACCGGGGAATTCTTTGAACAATGACTGTCATCTGATTCATCAACATTAAGTTCATTACGTACAGTAGGTACTAAAATCTTCATAACTAGTCACGCATAACATTTTTGACATTTAAATTTATCATCAGAAACTTGATTAATTGAAGTCTGAAAGAAATTAATATCAAAACAAACCCCAGCCAATTAGTGACAATTAAAAACAACTTCAGTAACGTGCTCCCCAGGGGGAGCAAATAATCTCTTGGGGAAGGCAGGTGATTAGGGTAGAGTAAATAGTGCAATATCCCCCCACCCTCCAGTGGCACAGCAGTACGTCTGCGGACGTACAACGCTAGAAACTGTATAGCATGTTGCTTAACTTCAAAACAAACAAATAGTACAATAATGCAAAATTAATCGTTTTAAAATTTTTTTTTATTAATGAACATAATAAGTAATTACTACAATGCATACAGCATTTTAATTAAAAAAAGAAAAGAGAGGGCACGCAAGAAATCATATTTATTAATGGGGGCGTGGATGACAAGTTTTGGGTAACGCTGACTTATAGGATTTAAAAATTTACATTTGACATTATCAGAACCTTTCTCTTTAGCTCGTGAAAATTGATGACAGTTCACTACAAAAATGTGTAATTACTAACAAGCGCTCATCTAAAACCATTTTACATACTATAGGAAAGGAGCTAGTCAACACCACCCACCGCCAACTCTTGGGCTACTCTTTACCAACGAACAGTGGGATTGACCGTCACATTATAACTCCCCCACGGCTGAAA